TGCTACTTAGCTTTCAATGATCTGAGCTCTCGGTTACAGACGACGGGGAAGGGCCTCTAAGAGGATTTATGCAACCAAAGCCGTGGGTTCAGACACCAGCGGTGGTGATCAATGCGTGTCTGTGAATGTATCGAGCAGAGCATGCGTCATCCACACTGCACACGTCACAATTCCCACTGCACACGTCACAATTCCCACTGCAAACGTCACAATTCCTACTGCACACGTCACAATTCCCACTGCACACGTCACAATTCCCACTGCACACGTCACAATTCCCACTGCACATGTCACAATTCCCACATACAAATATCATACAAACGCACCATCACTGTTTTTATTTGTACTTTACTACGGCTAAAGTAACCACATATATATAACACGAACATAATTATCATTTATTTTAAATGTTAAGGTAAAGTCACACAACCGAAAGAACGAAAATATGCTACTCTCATTAGCACACATATACTGGGTATCTCTAACCAACTATAGAGACATTATGGTTAAGCATACACATCTGTATTTGCGGTTCTAAGCACACGTTAGGCCTCTACTGTTCACTGCAGCAAATTGCGAGGCTGTTGAACAGCAATGACCGAGCCTCGGTTGACTCCTGTAATGGAATATTTCTCTGTTTTTTAGCATGGCAGTTTTTAACCTGTCAATCGTGCCCAATTGAGACCCGAAAAACGTAAGCAAAAAAAAATCACTGCCACCAATAAAAACCAACGAACCACACCTGCGTACGCCATGTGTTATTGAAGAGGCCAAGAGAGTGTGCTCGGAATTTCGTTGCAGGATAAGGTAAGCAACTTGAAAGTTTGGAATAACAGGCGGCTGGAAAGCACTGCGGATGTAATAATAAAGTTGAAGGTTGTGATGGATGGGTACACGTGCAGGATGAAGGGCAGGTTATTACTTTATTACATTTTCTTCATTTACCAAATAGTCTGTTTTGTATATTTTGTAAACGGTGATGCCTTCATGTGTTGTTTTAATATCTATGAAATGTATGATAGGCTGGGATTTTCGCAGAATTCTAATCGCCATGTGGCTAGCTTATGGCCATGGCTAAAATCGAAGAAATTAACTATTTGTGGATTGTGCAAAAAAAGTTCAATGGGCGCCGTAACTCAAAACTAAAACTTCCCTTACACCAGGTAACAGCGTCAAACCAGAGTATCTCCAGAAATATCGGGACACACTTTCTAGAACATGACTAAAGGTATTGTACAGCTGGAGGGATGAAGAGCTATGTACACATTTGTATGCACACACACACACACACGTATAATCACACACACAACAATCCCAAGGGGTATTTAAGTCCTTTGAAACGTTGCACAATCTACATTTCTAATCGCATATAAGCATGCAGCATTAGATTTCATAGTGCACGTAGAAGAAACATTCAACGGCGAGTGATGTGGGCCTGTTTGGAGCGGTGGCACCTCTGCCAAGCAACGTCGCTCACCCCAAAACCATTAACGCAACGCATACAGGGTGATCGTAAATGCCCCTCTTGCGCTTAAAGTACCGTGGGAGACCTCTCGTATGCAGTTCTATTACCCGCACCAACTCCAATAAACACACGGCCCCAACTGATCCGAAAATAATTCTCAACACGTTTTTAGTTTTTTCTTGGGAGTTGTTGGTTGTTATTCGTGCTTTGCACCACTGCCAATGCAGTATCACCAAAATATGTGGGGGGGAGGGGGGGGAACCTCATACGGATGGATTTGTTTCCTATTATTCACTTTATTAATAAATAAGTCATGCAGAGGCGCTCAAGGATTGGTTCCAACTGGAGTTAATCAGCAGCTCATTGCCAATAAGTGGCCACAAAGTGCAAAGTTTGTCCTATAAACTATATATTTTCATGGATAAGAGAAGTTACCCAAAGTGGTGGCAATTTCATCCTGCAATCCGTGGCAATTCAGAGATAAGTTACCCAGAAGCGGTCTCCCAGAGAGGTGCTAAGGTTATCCTGTTGCCCACATTTTTCACATATTAGAGGAGTTAAGCAGAATTCACCCCCCATAACAAGCAATTTCATTAACCCAAGTAACATCTAAACGCTGGCTTTCCACCCCCCCCCCCCAAATACATGCAACCAAAATCAAGGATGGACTTCACGATCACCCAGTATTTCACTGCGTCACGATGTGGCACCTGTCCCACACAAGGGTTACCATCTAAACATCAGACATTACTCAATAAGAGATACCAAGTTGCTATTCAATGAGGGCTCAAGACAAGGTGCGTGGCCTGGCATAGAACGACTTAACCTGGCGACACCACGTTCTTCCTCTACATGGTCCCCTTGAAGTGCAAAGCACTTGGTCCGTCACCAATGACCCAACGCTTTGATCCTTGCCTTGAAAAACTTTTCGTGTAATTTTTTTCATTTCACCAGGTAAGGCCCAGAAGCGACCTGGCCACAAATAATAGCTCAACGAAGTGGCTTATCACGTGGAAATGCATTGCAGCCAAATACTCCAAACGCGTGACGTTGATTCCAAATGTGTAGGGGAAAAACCGGAGGACCCGGAGAAAAATCGACGTGACCACGTGGGGAGAACATGCGAACTCCTAATATACAGGTGTCAGGGTCGGGATTGAACCCATGACCCGTGCATACCAGGTGAGGTAGTCAACATCTCGCCACCGTGGAGAGATGTTGTATGGCTTCATCGCCACGATAGAAATCGCTTTCCTAACATAGATCACACTGTCTAACAAAACCATTTTTTTCGTTCCTGGGTAGTGCGCCTTGGTAAATTCATCTTTCGTAGTCATTTTGTATTACTTTAGTATAAATACATGTTAATTTTGATTAATGTTGTTTTTTCTGACTTTATGTGAACGAAAAGACACAAATTCGCCCGTTTTCTCATTGAAAATTGGTACATTTCAAAATATCACTGTCCTGGTCACAAAAGCAAAGTTTGTGGGGAATAATAGCCATTTTCTATACTTTTTAGGTATAAGCAATTACGAAATAACACTTACTACCCAGGAACAAAAGATTGTGTTACATAGTGTTATTCAGCAGTGGAAACTTGGGAGGGACACATTTGGCGAGTTTCTCCACGCGGATTACGCCGAGGTTTTCTCAGATGTTTCTAGATTTCCCTGGATTCTTTTAGAATTATATTTGTTTCAGTTTAATATATATACGGGACTTGTAGAAACAAATAACAAAGTTAATCGAATGCTCCAAAATGCGGTAATCGCTACAATGTACATGCACTGTACTTTTAAATGAGCAGTTGCCCTTAGTTGTAGCATCAATCCTTCTATGTCAGGCCAAGACAAAGCATTGCATATGTTGAGCAACAACTTGCAATCCTGCAATTGCCAAGCAAAACCAACATATTAGTATTGCTATTACAAATGCATGTGTTTATCCAGTTAAGCCTCAGCGAGTCTCAAGGCCTAGGACATTTGGCCAGTTTTCCGATGAGTACTTGTGAGTAAAACCAGAGCGCTGTACGGACAGGTCAACTTGATGTGCCACCTACTGCAGGCAAAAACCACCAACCACGTGTCCAAGCCACCATTGCAGGACAAGCGCTGCCACAAAGCCCAGCAGGTGAGCTCACGGCACAGGCTGTCACACCAATCAGGACACCGTCGTGGTGCGTGAAGATGTCATCACCGCTGCTCGAGCGCAGAGTGGAATCTACAAGGTGCAGGTGTTGCCCAACGCGAGTGAATGAGGGGGGGGCCAGGTGTTGCCCAACGCGAGTGAATGAGGGGGGGGCCAGGTGTTGCCCAACGCGAGTGAATGAGGGGGGGCCAGGTGTTGCCCAACGCGAGTGAATGAGGGGGAGCCAGGTGTTGCCCAACGCGAGTGAATGAGGGGGGCCAGGTGTTGCCCAACGTGAGTGAATGAGGGGGGGCCAGGTGTTGCCCAACGCGAGTGAATGAGGGGGGGGCCAGGTGTTGCCCAACGCGAGTGAATGAGGGGGGGCCAGGTGTTGCCCAACGCGAGTGAATGAGGGGGGGCCAGGTGTTGCCCAACGCGAATGAATGAGGGGGGGCCAGGTGTTGCCCAACGCGAGTGAATGAGGGGGGGCCAGGTGTTGCCCAACGCGAGTGAATGAGGGGGGCCAGGTGTTGCCCAACGTGAGTGAATGAGGGGGGGCCAGGTGTTGCCCAACGCGAGTGAATGAGGGGGGGGCCAGGTGTTGCCCAACGCGAGTGAATGAGGGGGGGCCAGGTGTTGCCCAACGTGAGTGAATGAGGGGGGGGGCAGGTGTTGCCCAACGCGAGTGAATGAGGGGGGGCCAGGTGTTGCCCAACGTGAGTGAATGAGGGGGGGGGCAGGTGTTGCGACCGGACAAATAGCAACCCCCCCCCCCCAATCGGTGCGGCGACAAGAGGCCACCGCTCCCAGCAGATTCGTTCCTCGACAAACGAAACGGTCGAAGCAGCAGGAAAGACGAAAGGAACTGCATCAGCAATAGACCTGATGAGCGACCGCCGGCGGAGGACAAGAGCTGTCTTTCGAAAAAGGATTGTGTCGGAACTCCTATGCTGCAAAACACTACACGCCGTGTAGAGGTTAAGGGGCCTATCGTACACGCGTGTGTGTTAATGTACATGCCTGTGTGTATGCTCCATGGGTGTGGGTGTCTGCGTGCCAACGGGGTGGTTTTGTAGCAGGCAAGCAGCAGGCTTGAACAAAATCTAACGTTCAGATGTTCTCAACAACCACTGAAGGAAAGCACACGGGCACGACCACCGACCTGGGAAACTAGAACGGGGAGAAATACAAATTTAGTCTGAAACATTCAAAATAAAACTTCTCAACTATACATATACTTTGCAAACTTATCACAAAATCCCACGTTACACTTATTTGAGCCATTTGCTCACAAGAGTTTACGGGTGTGTGTATGGCTAGGTGTGTGTGTGTGTGGTTGGGCGAGTCAAAGTGTATGCGTATAACTGTAATGTATTTGTGACTTATGCGTATTGTCATTTGTGTACGTGCATAAGTTTGCGCGTGTATGGCTGTGTACGTGGGGAGCGGGAGTGCGGATGTTATCGTACTACGCTACAAACCCGGTGACCCATGTTTGATTCCCCATCATGGCCAACATTGGGGCTGGGGTATCTGAACTGGTCCTGGGCCTCCCCTAGGCTGACTCAGTCCTAAAAGAGTACCTTGCGCGGAGTGCAACATCAGCACTGGGGAAACACAGATGACTGGGCATGGTGCTCGCCACCTACCCGGTCGTGTGCCATGTTGGGCTTCAAAGGTGCTCGCTACAGCACCTTCCCCAACAGTACATTAAAAGGCTACAGGATATCTTTGTCTTTGTTTTGTACGTGGCTTTGCGGTGTATATTTATGGGTGCATGGGGGTACACGTATATGCAATGTGTGCACCATCATGCACGCGGGTGTGTATCACACCGCTATTTTTGTCAACGGGATGCGCACGTGCTCGCCTGCACGTGTAACAGCGCATACGTAGGCGTGCGAGTGTGCGCGTATGAACGCATGCACGCGTGCGACAGCGTTCGTGCATGTGCGCATGCATGTGTATGTGGTCATGTTCACGTGTGTGTGTGTGTGCAAGTGTCCTCTTGATACCATGCTGACGGCCTTGAGCCAATGGTAACATCTCCGAGTGCAGTCACTGGTTTCTCTCGTCATTGCTGTTGCTGCTGCTGCTGCTGTTATTGAGCTGTGCATTGTGGGCCATGAGCAGGCATGTAACAATTCACCCACCAGCAATTAGAACGAATCGCGATGCAAGTGACGAATCAATCGTTTTATTTCTGTCCTGTTTGTATCGCCCCATTCATTTTGTTCCGTCTCGTTCATTTAAATTGTAGTGCATTTTGCAATGCAACAGAATTTGGATTTAAATATCATCCACATGCACCTGCACCTCAAGACGCTGTACGGAAGCGGTGGGCAAGTTTAGTGTGTAGGGGTGGTCAGTCATCGGCAGATGGGAAAAAACGGAAGGTCTTGAGCTTGGACTTGAGCTGTGGCAGGAGGTCGACAGCACAGTGGGCTGGGGGGGGGGGGGAAGGACGATCCTGACCAGAGAGAGCCGCACAGGAGAGCAAGCGTCCTTCCACTGATCGAAGGTTGACTGCCGACTTCAATAGAAATGCCTTGCTTGGCTTGTGAAGCATAAAATCGTAAATGATTGATTCTTAAGACGTGATATTTCATGCACGCATCGTGAGCAAAAGAACACATTTGAATCATTTGCGTGCAGAGTGAATCGTTACATGCCCTCGTACTGTGTAAGATCTTTCGCGACCTGATGGGAGTTGTATAAATCACGGCGATGATTATGATGATGTTGTTGACACCATCGATGCTAATGCAGCTCCCTTAAGACTCACTGTAGTCGGCGCTGTTATTCTCCGTGCTGTAGTGGTTGTTGTTGTTGTTGTGGTCGGTGTGGCTGAGAGCTAGCGTTTTTTGGGGAGTGTGCCCGCACGTTGCGGGGTCACTGGGCGGTTGGCGTTCAGGCCGCCATACTGGTACTTAGGCTTTTTCTCCGCCGGCTTCAGGATCTGAATATTGCAAACGACGACAGGAAACACAACACAGCGATGCAGAATTACGGCACCTTCATTTAATGCCACATGTAAGGGCCCACTGGGCTGGGGAAAAAAAAACCACGACAGACAGAGGGGCGCAGGTTAGAGATGTCGAATTGACCGTTAAGAAGAGGAACCGGTCCCGAGCCAGGACGCGTGGCTAGAAGGGACGATGGCCAGCGGCCAAGATGAACGACGTAGTAGCAGCTAAGGGAGAGAGTGCGTCCGAGAGAATGTCAACCGCGGAGATGAAGCAATTCCATCAGCTCGTGCGCGCAGGTACTAAACAAAACTATTTTTTTATTTTACCAGGTTACGTTCTTTTTCAGAAGCGATCTGGCCACAAATGATAGCTCAACTAAGTGGCTTATCAAGTGGAAATTTACAGAAGCCAAACGGAGGGCCCGGAGAAAAATCCACGCAACCACGGAGTGAGAGGGAGAGAGAGACACGCAAACTCCAAATATACAGCAGGCGTGAGGGTTGGGATCAAACCCACGACCTCCTGTATACCAGACGAGGTAGTTAACATCTCATAGCCATCGTGGTCCTGGATTGACTGATAACATTGCAAAACCAAGGGAGATGGCAATGACAAGGGGAGGCCTTCATCCAGCAGCAGTAGGCTGATAATGGCTGATAATGTTTGAACGGCGAAATAGGATGAATTTTTCGCCACGTTCGTGATGACTCTTATTAATTGCAGATAAACACAGATAATAGGCAGAATCTGTCTGCGGATTACATGCGATTCTGCGGATCGACTGGTGGCACACATTAGGACCTCAGATAACAGGCATTTGTGGAATTGTCTATCATCTGTAGCATTCAATGAATGAATAGGAGACAGGGAGATGGGGGACGCAGGGAGATGGCGGTGACTAGGGAGCGATGGTGAGCGAGGGGCGCGGTACCTACAACAACTTTTTATTTTACCAGGTAAGGCCCACTAACCTATATAGCTCTTTTTCAGATAGTTCAACGGAGTGGCTTATCACGTGGAAATGTATGGCAGCCAAGTACTCCAAACGCGTGACGTTGTTTATAAATGTGGAGGGAAAAACCCCAGGACCCGGAGAAAAATCCAAGCGACCACAGTGAGAGAGACACATGTAAACTCCAAATATACAGCAGCAGGCGCCAGGGTCGGGATCGAACCCACGACCTCCTGTATAGCAGGCGAGGTAGTTAACATCTCCTAGCCACCGTCATGATGATCAGAGAGAGAGAGATATGTAAACTCCAAATATACAGCAGCAGGCACCAGGGTCGGGATCGAACCCACGACCTCCTGTACACCAGGCGAGGCAGTTAACATCTCCTAGCCATTGTGATGATGATCAGAGAGAGAGAGACATGTAAACTCCAAATATACAGCAGCAGGCACCAGGGTCGGGATCGAACCCACGACCTCCTGTACACCAGGCGAGGTAGTTAACATCTCCTAGCCACCGTGGCGCCCACCTGGAAGGAGCACATGAGCGTTTCGTCGACGCTCATCATTGCCCCGGCGTTGTCGAACTCCCCGCAGTAGTTGGGCGCGGAGAAGAGCGTGACGAGTTGGCGCTTAGCGAAGAACTCATAGCCGTCCTCCACCACCTGCGCCCGCGGGGTGGGGCAAGAGGCGAGAGACACGACCACACCGAGTCACGACCATACATGCGACATCCGGCATGCTGCAGCCGTCAGAGTCGTGCCGCTGTGTGCATTGATACATGCAGCTGTGTGCATTGGTCTGTACAGTTGTGTGCATTGATACGTGCAGCTGTGTGCATTGGTCTGTACAGTTGTGTGCATTGATATGTGCAGCTGTGTGCATTGATACGTGCAGTTGTGTGCATTTCTTGGTGCAACTGTGTGCATTGGCCTGTGCAGCAGTGTGCATTGCTCCATGTAGCTCTCTGCATTTTCATGTGCAGCTGTGTGCACTGCTGTGCATACAGCTGTGTGCACTGCTCTGTGATTGTGAGCATTGCTCCATGCAGCTGTGTGCACTGCTGTGCATACAGCTATGTGCATTGCTATGTGTCGAGCTATGTGTCTATGTATGCGATTTGCTATGCTGTTATATAGATGTATTGCTTAGTTATTAACATCCCACTGCAGGGCAAAGGCCTCCTCCGAATGTCTTAACAATCTCTTGCCACCTACATCCAGTGCTACCGATTGTTATTCTAATCTCACGAGCACTGCCCACGCATTTGTGCGGGATCCTTGGCCGGGGTGGAGGGGTAGATTGTGGGGGTGGGGGAGGGAGGCATGACATGAGCACGCCCCACGAACCCCGGTCCAACGCTGCGAGGTGCGGGTGGCGTCATTACCATGCAGAGGTGCGTGGCGATGTCACCACTGCGCAGTTACCTGCCCACACGCCAGGCAGCCAGCCAGCAAAACTTTTTTCTACGATAGTATCATCCAGTCTCATTTTTTGTCCACATCTCCTTCTCTCCATCGGCATGATTCGGTTTGTTAATTTTGCCCATCCGCCATGTCACCGAGTTCGGTGTTTTGGCCAAGTGAATTCAAGTTTTTGTTTGCCACGTTCTAAATTACATCCGTGACCGTGGTCTAATTTTGGCCATTCTCGTTAAGTTCAAAATCCTCCCGTCCATGGCTCCTTAAAAAAACCCGTAACTTTCTCGTTCTTGAGTTAGGGGCAGGATTGGCCCCCCGGTGGTCATGAGTGGTAACATACAAGAGTCAACGGGTCTCTGATACAGACACACGCTGCTCGTTTTCCATTTATGAACCTTTTCAATTACCACAAATTTTCTCAACACTTGTGATTGTTTTTTTGCCGAATGAAACTACTTGTCCTGAATTCGTATAAGGACAATTAAAATATTTTTTTGTATTGACTCTTTCAAGATTTTTTTCCTTAAAAAAAATCGATCATTATTTTAGTTTTGTTCTTAAAAATATTTTTAAACTCCTGAAATAGTATTACCGTGTTCATCTAAATCTGATATCTCATTTAATGTCATACTTTGATTCGTAAAATAAAATAAAATAATCTGATATCTGAACTGGATGAGATTTATTTAGGTGCATTGGGATCTACAAATGAAATGTGCCTTAAAAATGTAACTTATTATTATCACTGTTGATCCCATATGACTCCCTGATTTAGGTTGCCAAACACAGACTCTAAATCAGACGTGAATAGTATAGATGGAGAAATAGGATTTCCCAATTAACTCCTCTGCAGAATTAAAAACTATCACCTTGTATTTAGAATCTAAAACAAGCAATGCCATTGTTGTCAATGAATTTTAGAATCCATGCGAACTTTGTAATAAACTCTTCATTGTTTTAGGAGATATTAAATACGGTTCTTTAAAAGACATGCGTGCGTGCGTGCGTGTCACTGTGGGTGGAGCTGGTGCATCTGCCAATCATCTCGGTCAGCCAACCCATGGCACCTGGGTCTCGTGACCTGTCAGCGAGCATTCGACGCTTCACGTGGCCTCAAAGTGCACCTGGTACGGCACAGGCACCGTGGTGACGTCACCGTCACTTAGTGGCGATTGGCGGGTATTGGTTGGGTGGAGCGGTGGTGTAGCGGTTAGCGCGCTTCGCTCCGAGCCTGGCGACCCAAATTCAATTCCCGCTCGTGTCCAACACCAGTGACGATTATACGAACCGATGCCGGGCCTCCCCTACGGTCGTACTCAGTATTAAAAGAGTACCTGGTGCGATGTGCAACATGGCTGGGCGTGGTGCTGGTGCACGTACCCGGCACGTGTGCCATTCCGGCCTTCGTAGGTGCTCGCTAGCAGCACTTGTCCCAACAGTCTGTTAAGGCTACACGGGGGAGCTTTGTCCTTGTATGTCGCAGTGTGATTACGTGACCCCTACGGTCGAATAGTGAGTACCTGGTGCGATGTGCAACATCAGCACCGGGGAAACAAAGACGGCTGGGCATGGTGCTGGCCACCCACCACCCTTCGTGTGCCCTGCCGGCCTTCACAAGTGCTCGCTAACAGCACTTTCCGCAGAAGAATGTTAAAGGCTTTATGGTGGGGATCTTTGTATTTGTCACTGTGTGTGTATATATATCACTGTGTTTACAGATAAAGTAGCTACAGTTAATAAATATACGAAACAATTACGACAGCGGATATTCTGATGTTGGCTGGATCTCTTTAAGGCAGCCGGTTTAAATGTATCCATTCAGTCAGCGGTCAAGGCACACAAATAACGTCATTGATGCTTTTAGATCCCAGGTCCTGATCTGGATCAGAAGATGTCAACTTAACATCGATGTGGGTAGAGGCTTTCAATATTTGGCCATTCAGTCTGGGTCTTCTACCAAAAGATGTGCCTCCAACAAGGCGATAAAAACAATAGGATTAATTGTTGGTGTCACCCGACAGTTGAAGGTACAATTCTGTCACTGGCCGCTGAATTTTTGTTTAAGGTAGATACCATGAACAACAAGTGGAGTCATGCTTGGTCCTTTCCCAGCCATCAAATGATGTGTTTGGATCTGTTTCAGAAACAGTGAGGCTAGGCTATGTGAAAGGTCATGCCTCGGTCAGAAGATAAATCTTGCAGAGGGCATCTGCAAGATTCAGAGTCATTGGGAGTGGAGTTTATCAAATCAGACATCTCCATAGCATCCAGCAGAGAAAATTACCATGTAGGGGATACGCTCAAACATGCGAGTATACTACCCAGCGAGAGGGCTAGGAATGACAGCGCAAATTCCACCCAGCTAGCTCAGCTGGAATTCGGCAATTTACGAAAGGGGAAGAGAGCCAAGAGCCACAGTGCCTCCGGGAGCAGCCAGTGAAGTCACCATTCATGAGCGCATCGAAACTAAATTGAAAACTAAAATATATTTTTTTCATTATCAGGTAAGGCCCACTGAGCAATGTATCTATTATTCACAAGCGACTTGGTCACAAATGACCTAGTGGCCTGTCAACCTGGTGGCTTGTCGCGTGGAAATTTATAGCAGCCAAATACTTCAAAATGCATGATTCTAATTGTGGTGGGAAAATCCGGGGGACCCGGAGAAAAATCCACGCGACCACGGGGAGAACATTCAAATTCCAAATATACTGGTGTCAGGGTTGGGATCGAACACCACGACCTCCTGTATACCAGGCGAGGTATTAACATCTCGCCACTGTGATGTTTATGCCAATGAGTATGGTAGCCGGAGCCAACGTAAGGCGTGCGTGGTAATCCTACGGGGATGCTAATTGGGGGAGTGAGAAAGAGAAACGTTCCACAGAGCGGCCGGAGGTCCTATTTGACTATCATTACAACTGCAGAGGACAGTGTTTGTAGTTGCATCACTGTTGGTTGTCGTTCTTCCTCCACACCCCCGATTAGCACAGTTGGCTATGTACGGTGCGAAATAAGTTCAACGGACATACAGAGGCTGTGTTTTTGTGTAGATCCATTTCTTTGTTTTTAAGTAATTAAAATAAAGCAATAATTGTATTGTATTAATGATGAAATAACTAGTACAGAGTTATATACAGTAAGGGAAAAAAGTATTTCATCCCCTGCTGATTTGGTACGTTTGCCCACTGACAGAATAACAAAAAAATCCAGAAAAACGCATGTCAAAAATGTTATAAATTGATTTGCATTTTAATGAGGGAAATAAGTATTTGACCCCCTCTCAATCAGAAAGATTTCTGGTTCCCAGGTATCTTTTAAACAGGTAGCGAGCTGAGATTAGGAGCACATTCTTAAAGGGAGTGCTCCTAATCTCAGCTTGTTACCTGTATAAAAGACACCTGTCCACAGAAGAAATCAATCAATCAGATTCCAAACTCTCCACCATGGCCAAGACCAAAGAGCTCTCCAAGGATGTCAGGGACAAGATTGTAGACCTACACAATGCTGGAATGGGCTACAAGACCATTGCCAAGCAGCTTGATGAGAAGGTGACAACAGTTGGTGCGATTATTCGCAAATGTAAGAAACACAAAAGAACTGTCAATCTCTCTCGGCCTGGGGCTCCATGAAAGATCTCACCTCGTGGAGTTGCAATGATCATTAGAACGGTGAGGAATCACACCAGAACTACACGGGAGGATCTTGTCAATGATCTCAAGGCAGCTGGGACCATAGTCACCAAGAAAACAATTGGTAACACACTACGCCGTGAAGGACTGAAATCCTGCAGCGCCCGCAAGGTCCCCCTGCTCAAGAAAGCACATATACATGCCCGTCTGAAGTTTGCCAATGAACATCTGAATGATTCAGAGGACAACTGGGTGAAAGTGTTGTGGTCAGATGAGACCAAAATGTAGCTCTTTGGCATCAACTTAACTCACCGTGTTTGGAGGAGGAGGAATGCTGCCTATGACCCCAAGAACACCATCCCCACCGTCAAACATGGAGGTGGAAACATTATGCTTTGGGGGTGTTTTTCTGCTAAGGGGACAGGACAACTTCACCGCATCAAAGGGACGATGGACAGGGCCATGTACCGTCAAATATTGGGTAAGAACCTCCTTCCCTCAGCCAGGGCATTGAAAATGGGTCGTGGATGGGTATTCCAGCATGACAATGACCCAAAACACACGGCCAAGGCAACAAAGGAGTGGCTCAAGAAGAAGCACATTAAGGTCCTGGAGTGGCCTAGCTAGTCTCCAGACCTTAATCCCATAGAAAATCTGTGGAGGGAGCTGGAGGTTCGAGTTGCCAAACGTCAGCCTCGAAACCTTAATGACTTGGAGAAGATCTGCAAAGAGGAGTGGGACAAAATCCCTCCTGAGATGTGTGCAAACCTGGTGACCAACTACAAAAAACGTCTGACCTCTGTGATTGCCAACAAGGGGTTTGCCACCAAGTACTAAACCATGTTTTGCAGAGGGGTTAAACACTTATTTCCCTCATTAAAATGCAAATAAATTTACAACATTTTTGACAAGCGTTTTTCTGGATTTTGTTGTTGTTATGCTGTCTCTCAACTGTTCAAATAAACCTACCATTAAAATTATAGACTGATCATTTCTTTGTCAGTGGGCAAACGTACAAAATCAGCAGGGGATCAAATACTTTTGTTCCCTCACTGTAGTTGTAATAAATACCTACGGTTCCTCCAATTACGTGTATTGCTGCGAATACCGCTATGTGCGTTGTTGCATGTACGTGCGTAAAGCTGTGTGTATAGTGATGTATCATGCTGTGTATCGCTTTCGTGCATTGCTGTGTGTAAAGCTACGTGTAGAGCTATGTGCATTGCTGTGAGTATCGCTGCGTGTAATGTTGCTCTGAAAGTCACTGCACCCATCACCACTCCAGATTCTCCAACCCTACCGACGTCAATCGTCGTCTGCCGATTTCTAAAACCATGCCGCCGCATCCTGATTTTCACAGATTATAATCACAGTGCTTGCACAATTATACAAAAAAAAGTCACGGTTTTCGATGCAATGTTTGCTTCGAAACTGGGAATGCAGAAAAAATATGGTAGCCTAGGCCAGACATGGGCAGGGTGAATGAATGTCCTACAGACAAAGATCCCCCTATAGCTTCAACAGACTGTTGGGGCAAGTGCTGTGAGCGAGTAACACCTGCGAAGGCCGGCACTGTGGCACACGAGGGGGTTGGTGGCCAGCACCACGCCCGCTCGCCTTTGTGCCACAGCGCGCGTCACAACGCGCGTCACAGCGCGCGTCACAGCACGTGTCTCACACCTGGTGAGCGCGGCAGATGAGGTCCAGGTCGTGGCGGTTGAGGAATTTGCTGACGACGTCGGCGCCGAAGGTGAAGGAGACGCCACGGTCGTTCTCGCCCCAGCCCTGCACGTCCTTGTCAGGGTCCGACCACAGCAGATCGCACAGCAGCCCTGGCAAAGGGGGGGGGGGGGGGGTGGGGCGAGCACAGAGAGTGCCACCACTGTGTAAGGCCTCGCTGCGCCGATGCCGGGCCCAGCGGTTCGCACGCCGTGTGTGCACGCACGAAAGCCTTGCACGGGGAGGAAGGGCTCGCGGGCTCGCGGTAGGTATGGACACCGTGCGGGATAAATTTAGAACGCGCACGGGGATTTTGGCGCCGTGTTACGGCGGCGCTAAATACGCAACGTGAAACGAATGCCTCGCAGCACATTGACGAAGAGGCATGTGCGTGAGATCTCTCTGTGTGTCCTGGCCTGAGACAGACTGGGCACCTACCAGAGGAATGTGGAGTTTCCACCGCTGGCTTAGGGCTACCCATGGAGATTAGTGCCGCTCCTATACTCGTTTAACCAGAGGCACCTTTTGAGTTTTCATCGTTGCAACAACAAACACGATAGATTGATGGTCCAGTGGTGCAAGCGTTGCATTGTGAAGCTGGTCGCCCGAGTTTGATTTCCGGGCAATGGCTAACGATAGCCAACTGGTCCTGCCTTCACCGATCTCCACTGACAAAAAGTGCTGTGAAGTATAGTCATACAAACCCCATGACTAACGTGACTTGGGCACGCCTTTACCCAGCTAGTGGATTGACAAGGCCTGTGAATAAATACTGAATAATCAACAAGGGTCCCCATGTGCATTGGGTTAAGAGTTTATTACTCTTTTTTTTTACTCCTATGCTGGCCGACTGCCTTGACATGGAAATCAGCACATTCGGAGACCTTGGCATGGTGCTCTGCCAGAACCGTTAGACACTCAGCCCCGTGATTCGGACCCAGGCACACGCAGGTGTTGGGGACAGTCGTTTGAGACACAAGCAGATTCCCGAGACACGATCGCTGAAAGATGCGCAACAGATGCAGGGCTGGTACTTTCCGGTTTCTGGGATGAGTGAACCACTCAAGTGCCCGGTAAGAAGACCCCCGCTGACGCACGTCCCAGAGATAAACGCGAACTAAAAAAAAATCTCCGTCGTCTTTTGTGTCCGTCTGCGTTCTGTGTCCGCGGCAGGGATTTCACATACGCCAAATTCCACATGGGTAAACAGATGGCCCACACGGTTCTCAGGCCACCCCCCCCACCCCACCACCTGCCGGACACCCCTGAGCTCTTTGTGCCACTCAGCGATAGCAGTTTTATACGAACGAATCAAGTTTTTTTCCCATTTAAAATATCGGGGGGGAGAGGGAAAAGAAGAAACAAAGACGCCCTGTTTACCCCCATTACAGAGCAGAGGCGGCGTGCACTGGCAGTGGGCATCTACTGAGGTTGGCACAGCACACGTGGGAGCAGCGTAGCAAGCACAACACCCCCTTTGCTGATGGTAACAAAATAAAGACCCACGTCCGCAAAAGACAACAAGCTAAACGTCGCACCTTCCAGTGAGTCGGTTTGTGATCTATTTCTTGACGACGCGTGAACTAAAGAGCGCTTTGGTAAGGGGGCGATCTTCCGCAGAATTTCCACAGCGTCTGTTTACAGCGGGCGGCCAGCCTTGTACGGGCGGCCTTATTGGAGGGACTGCGTTGTGGATGTGAACCCTGGGGCACGAGAGCTGGATTCGGAGACGTGACGGCGCTTGCGGACACGCGAGGAAAAAACGGCGAGTCACCGGGAGGGCCGAGACACCGATGACCGAGACAGATAAAAAAATAGTTTATTTTTAAAGCGATTCGTTTACCTTTTCTCGTACTTCGCACACTACTATCGTGTTTTTTTATATTATTTATGTTATTTGTTTGTTGTTGCAACGTTCTGACCGACCCCTCTACTGGACATCTGTGAAAAAGAGCTTCATAGCACATCGGATTCCTCCAGTTATAAATATTCTGATTCGAGACGGCACTACGGGCAGAGCACCCATCACGCAGCTACAAATCCCCCGAGTTCAACAGCAGTTGTCCTAATAGATAGGCTCACCCCTGCCATAGGAATGTGGAATTTCCACCACTGGTTCATGGTTTTAAACGGGAAGGTGAGCACCGTCTCAAATGCTCATTTGAGCCGGAAGTAAAATGTTGACTTATTAAGCGATGATCGCAGCGATACCAAGCCGTTGTGTTAACGCGTCTCCTTTTGCAAAGAGATACGCTGGGGTAAATCGATACGACATTCCTCTCCAGGAGCTATTTATACGTTAAAATAAATATATAAAATATCCATTTAGTAGCACGAACCTAAAAAAGAGGTAAATAAATTAAATACAAAATTAAAATGACGCAAGTCGTAAAAAAATACCTTCAGTGTGTGTAATTGCCCCATAATTACGTTGCCAGATTGGCACGTTGTGCGGTTCGAGTTGCTGTGGTTTACGTAAACTTACCGGCCGGCTCTCGCAGTCTCAACACACAGACCCCTTCTAGCACACCTCAGTGTCACACATCCTAGTGTCACACATCCCAGTGTCACACATCCTAGTGTCACACATCCCAGTGTCACACATCCTAGTGTCACACACCTCAGTGTCACATCCTGGTGTCACAGATCCCAGTGTCACACATCCTAGTGTCACACATCCCAGTGTCACACACCTCAGTGTCACACATCCCAGTGTCACACATCCTAGGGTCACACATCCCAGTGTCACACACCTGAGTGTCACACATCCCAGTGTCACACATCCCAGTGTCACACATCCTAGTGTCACACATCCCAGTGTCACACATCCTAGTGTCACACATCCCGGTGTCACACATCCCAGTGTCACACATCCCGGTGTCACACATCCTAGTGTCACACATCCCAGTGTCACACATCCTAGTGTCAGACATCCTAGTGTCACACATCCCAGTGTCACACACCTCAGTGTCACACATCCCAGTGTCACACATCCCAGTGTCACACATCCTAGTCTCACACACCTCAGTGTCACACATCCTAGTGTCACACATCCCAGTGTCACACACCTCAGTGTCACACATCCTAGTGTCACATCCTAGTGTCACACACCTCAGTGTCACACATCCCAGTGTCACACATCCCAGTGTCACACATCCTAGTGTCACACATCCCAGTGTCACACATCCCAGTGTCACACATCCTGGTGTCACACATCCCAGTGTCACACATCCTAGTCACACACCTCAGTGTCATACATCCCAGTGTCACACATCCTAGTCACACATCCCAGTGTCACACATCCTAGTGTCACACATCTCAGTGTCACACATCCTAGTGTCACACATCCTAGTCACACACCTCAGTGTCACACATCCCAGTGTCACACATCCTAGTCACACATCCTTGTGTCACACATCCTAGTGTCACACATCCCAGTGTCACACACCTCAGTGTCACACACCTCAGTGTCACACATCCCAGTGTCACACATCCCAGTGTCACACATCCCAGTGTCACACATCCTAGTGTCACACATCCCAGTGTCACACATCCCAGTGTCACACACCTCAGTGTCACACATCCTAGTGTCACACATCCCAGTGTCACACATCCCAGTGTCACACATCTCAGTGTTACACATCCCAGTGTCACATCTTTGTGTCACACATCCCAGTGTCACACATCCCAGTGTCACACATCCCGGTGTCACACACCTCAGTGTCACACACCTCAGTGTCACACATCCCAGTGTCACACATCCTAGTGTCACACATCCCAGTGTCACACATCCTGGTGTCACACATCCCAGTGTCACACATCCTAGTGTCACACATCCCAGTGTCACACATCCTAGTGTCACACATCCTAGTGTCACACATCCTAGTGTCACACATCCCAGTGTCACACATCCTAGTGTCACACATCCCAGTGTCACACATCCCAGTGTCACACATCCTGGTGTCACACATCCCAGTGTCACACATCCTAGTCACACACCTCAGTGTCATACATCCCAGTGTCACACATCCTAGTCACACATCCCAGTGTCACACATCCTAGTGTCACACATCTCAGTGTCACACATCCTAGTGTCACACATCCTAGTCACACACCTCAGTGTCACACATCCCAGTGTCACACATCCTAGTCACACATCCTTGTGTCACACATCCTAGTGTCACACATCCCAGTGTCACACACCTCAGTGTCACACACCTCAGTGTCACACATCCCAGTGTCACACATCCCAGTGTCACACATCCTAGTGTCACACATCCCAGTGTCACACATCCCAGTGTCACACACCTCAGTGTCACACATCCTAGTGTCACACATCCCAGTGTCACACATCCCAGTGTCACACATCTCAGTGTTACACATCCCAGTGTCACATCTTTGTGTCACACATCCCAGTGTCACACATCCCGGTGTCACACACCTCAGTGTCACACACCTCAGTGTCACACATCCCAGTGTCACACATCCTAGTGTCACACATCCCAGTGTCACACATCCTGGTGTCACACATCCCAGTGTCACACATCCTAGTGTCACACATCCCAGTGTCACACATCCTAGTGTCACACATCCTAGTGTCACCTCTTTGTGTCACACATCCCAGTGTCACACCTCCTAGTGGCACCTCCTCGTGCCACACATCCTAGTGTCACACATCCTAGTGTCACCTCTTTGTGTCATACATCCTAGTGTCACACATCCCAGTGTCACACACCTCAGTGTCACACATCCCAGTGTCACACATCCTGTCACACACCTCAGTGTCACACATCCTAGTGTCACACATCCTAGTGTCACACTTCCCAGTGTCACACATCCTAGTGTCACACATCCCAGTGTCACACATCCCAGTGTCACACATCCTAGTGTCACACATCCCAGTGTCACACATCCCAGTGTCACACATCCCAGTGTCACACATCCTAGTGTCACACATCCTAGTGTCACCTCTTTGTGTCACACATCCCAGTGTCACACCTCCTAGTGGCACCTCCTCGTGTCACACATCTGAGTGTCACACATCCTAGTGTCACCTTCTAATGGCACACGTCTGAGTGTCACACTTCGGTGTTATCTCCTAGTGTCACACATGCTCGTCTCACCTCCTAGTGGCACCACGTTGTGTGCTACAATTCCCAAGTGGCACTGACTGGTAACACCAACTATTGGCACACCCGAATGTGATACACCTGAGCAGGTGTGACACTAGGAGGTGTTCTGATACAAAAAAACAAGAATCTGGCCCAGCGCGTGCGGAGTTGCATAGAAAACTTTCCTCCACCACTTGTCATTGTGGTCTCACTCCGCATCCCCAAAACCTGTCTTGTAACTTGAATCCATCCACGTCATCCTTGTACACAACAACATCAATAATCCCTCTTTAACACCGGCATTCACACATCTGCAACGGTAGATGCTCAGCTTGAGACCGAGTGGACTAATGAGAGATCCATACCCAAAGAAAACAATGGTCGCACACTGTCGGATGACCACGACGACAAAGATGATGATGATAAAGAGCGTGGACCAGGAACTTAACCTGGGTTCTCAACAACGGTGCTGGGTCACGTGGTTGGCGGTGAGTGGCGGTGAGTGGCGGTGAGTGGCGGTTACCGGTGTCGGGGACATCCGTGGGTCTCATGATACGGCGGATCTGCTCCATTGACTGCAGGTCCGGTGAGAGGCCTGCATGCAACGGAATCAGAATATTTATTTATACTCGAGGAATCCGATGAGCAATAAAGCTCTTTTTCACAGGTGTCCAGTAAGGTGAATGGGGCAAGAACGCTACAACAACAAACAACAGTCGTGCAAAGTACAGAAAAGGCAAACAAATCACCCAAAAACATTAAGCTAAAACAAAACCCATCCCCATCCTACCAGGCCAAGCACACTCAGGTATTCACTTCTTTTTCAGAAGCGACACGGCCAGAAATGATAGCTCAACAAAGTGGATCATCACGTGTACATTTATAGCAGCCAAATAGTGTAAATAATCTCAGCGAAACCCGGGCCGGAGCACCCACACGCAAACACGGACTTACGCTCATGGTCAAAGACAGGCTGCTCAAGCCCAAAGGAAAGTAGCAATCAGTCGACATACTAACGCTCGGGGCCACTTAAGACAATTACGGATGGATTACGGTGACAAAATCACCCGGCATGCACCCGATCCTGTCGCATCTCAGAAGCTAAGCAGAGTTTGAGCCTGGATAGTGCTTGGATGGGTGACCGTCATGCACAGTTCGTCATGGAGCTGTGGGGCTGCATTGTGGGCACCCAAGCGCAGTACAGCAAAATCCATTGTTGCACTGTACTTATATGCTCTCCACCTTCACCAACCCGCACTGACCAGCACAGTGAAGGATGATTAAATAACACCCGTGACCCGCATGGTGTGGTGAGGTCCTCATCCAGCAGCGGATTGACGAGGGGCTGTACCTGTACATGTCAGGGCTGGCAGTACCACCAAGTGGAGGCCTTAAACATCACTCTTAGTGGTGCCACTAAGAGTAATGTTTACAGGAGGTCATGTGGGATCGATCCTAACCCTGCCACCTGTACATTTGGAATGTGCATGCTCTCCCCGCGGTCGCGTGGATTTTTCTCCGGGTACTCCAGTTTGTCCCTCCACACATTTAGTAACATGCGTTCGGAGCATTTGGCTGCTGTAAATTATTTCAGCGTGATAAGCCACTTTGCTGAGCTGCCATTTGCACCCAGGTCACTTCTGAAAAGAGAGCTGCATAGCTCAGTGAGCCTTCCCCGGTAAAAATAAAAATACTTTAGTGTTAGTTTATACAAGGCGTTTTCTTCATGCGCGGTGTGTTACTGGTTCATCACGCACACAGCTGTAAACATGCTTCTGGAGGTCGAGCATTGGCAGCTGTGCTGTGAATTCAACTTTATCATAAAGGATGACGCTGAGATGGTGTAAGAGCAGTCTGTGCAGGATGTGATTATAAACATAATCCACTCCATCACGACATTGAAGTCACAACTCAAAACAGATCTCTTTACACTTGCATACAATACATAACTCACATCCACAACATGCCTCCATTGTTATATTATAAACAGCTGTAAAGAGTATATTGGCTTTCTCTCTCGCTGTACAGAAATGTCTATGTTCATGGGTATTGATGTGATGGCACTTTGAGTGGAAGGTTTGTGGCAGAAAGGCACCACGTGTTTAAGCATTTTTTTTACTTGACTTGGCTAAGTTAAAGAGAAGACCTTACACCAGCTCTGGATACAGAAACTTTAAGAGTGGCCCGTTGAAGGACCTGTTGAATCTATAACCATCACCACCAGTCTTCTAAAATCTATTAAATAATGTTTACAAATGATAGCTCAAAGAAGGAGCTTACCGTGTGGAAATTTATAGCAGCCAAATACTCTCTAAACACGTGTTGTTCATACTCTGAACACGTGTTGTTCATACTCTGAACACGTGTTGTTCATTCTAAATGTGGAGGGAAGAAACCGGAGGACCCGGAGAAATATCCACGCGACCACGGGGAGAGAGAAAGAGAGACATGCAAACTCCAAATATACAGCAGCAGGCTTCAGGGCCGTGATCGAACCCACGACCTCCTGCATACCGGGCGAGGTAGTTAACATCTAACCACCGCGGCGCTCCTCACCGCAGTCAGTGGTGAGGAGGCTGGAAAGCAGATACTGGAGCTTCGATGTTCACTTACAACAGTTGCGTGTGATCTAGCAGAGAGAAGGAAGCGATGGGCGAGGTACGATGCGGACCACAGTGACCTCTTCGACCCCTGACACACCTCGTGCAACCGCGATGGCACAGTGCAGGAACTCACCGCCATGGCAGCAGAAAATCTTTTCGTCAATGATGGCAGCGATAGGCAGGCAGTTGAAGCAGTCCGTGAACGTCTTCCAGAGCTTGATGTTAAAACGGCGCTTGCCTGTTGGTGGTGGTGGTGGTGGCGAGGGAGGGAGGGAGGCGGTGGTTTCAACAAAAAAAGCAGAGGGATTACAAGGCCAGAACCTGCAAAAGAGATGCGCTTGAGCTCACGCACACCACGCTCGCGTATTACGTCAATGTACACAGCTCACCACTATATATACACACACACACAAAGATCCCCCATTTAGACTTACAGAATGCAGGGGGATTTGCCGTTGGCAAACACCTATTCATGCGGGTATGGTACATGAGAGTGAGGTGTTGCCAGGACCACACACCTGGCTGCCTTTCTCTCTGAAGGGTTGATATTGACACCACTCTATACTCATTTAAGGCTTAGTAAACCTAGGGGAAGCTCCATGACCGGTTTAGATATTTCCCACTGATGTTGGCCGTGAGCGGGAATAAATCTCCGCTGGATTCTTAGCGCTAACCACGACACTACCGCTTCCCAAAGACAAGATCCCCTGCATAGCCTGAAGAGGCTTTTGGGACAAGTGAATCGATTGGCGGTGACCCGGGTCACCATCGTGACCCGGGTCACCATCGTGACCCGGGCTTGCCAAAACCTCCATAACTCCGAAACCAGAAGGCCTATGAAGACGGGAGATGTCACTGAGCCTGATACGCAACGCCAAATATGGGAATAAAAAAAGCACGCAAAACACCCATAAAAAGGGGGGCTGCTGGGGATTTGTGCGTGGCAACGGCTGCTTATTGCTTGTTTTGAAAGTACATCAGGATGCTGCTGGTCTGGTCATTCCCCAGCACGTTCTGCTTCTTACGGGGGCGGCCACCCCCTTGTCTTTGGGAGCGAGACCACTTGGAGGCAATGGCGCAGCAGGCGCTCGCTTGGTACGGCCGGCGGTCACGGTCGGGCTGGCGGGATCGACATCGTCGTTGTCATCATCGCTCCCAGCGTCGCCCTCCGGCACGACAGGGTGGTAGTACCAGCGATGCTCCCAGAAAAAAACCTTAAACTATGCCCGGCCCACCAATATTTTGCGGTGACCCGGGCTACCGCCAATCGATTCAAATGCTAATTAGCGAGCACCTATGAAGGCTGGCACAGCAAACGAGGGGATGGGTGGCCAGCACCACACCGAGCCGTCTTTGTTTCTCGAGTGACGATTTTTACACACATCACCGGTTACTCATTTGAGGCTGTGTCAGCCTAAGGGAGGGTCAGGACCGCTCCCCATGCACATACACACTCACGCACACAAACGAATACACAGACACATTGACACACACAAAAACATACAGGCAAACTCAAAAGCAAAGACACAAGCAAACGCAGACACAAGCACACATCCAAAGGTCCCCCGTATAGTCTGAACAGACTTTTGGGAAAAGTGCTGTTAGTGAGCACCTGTGAAAGCTGGAACAGCACACGAGGGGGTGGGTGGTCAAGACCATGCCAGGCCACCTTTGTCTCCCCAGTGGCGATGTTTTTGCACCAGGTACTTATTTTAGGCTGAGTCGACCTTGGGGAGGCCCAGGACGGGTTTAGATAATCGTCACTGGTGTTGGCAGTGAACAGGAATCAAACTTGGGTCTCTGGGATCCTAGTGCAGTGCGTTAACCACGACACTACCGCTCCTCGCGCATCGATACACACAAGCACACACACAAGCACACACACAAATTGCATGCAAGTGCAATAACCACAGCTAAATATATATTCATGTTTATGTAACTTAATTTTATCATGAATATCTTTTTTTTCCATTAATCTGCAAGAGACAATGTTTGCGGCCAAAATGTTATTTTATTAAACATAGTTGATCATCGATTATCCGGCTTCAAAACATTATCCGGCGGTCTCAGGCCAATTCGGCGGTCCCAGGCCGATCCGGCGATCGGTACTGTGTGCATGCCAAAAAAAGTAGGTAAGCTTGATTTCTATGTAAAATAGTATATACAGTGCATTATACACTACATACACGACTTATCAATGAAAATAATGCACTATATACATCACCCCATGCGGAGTCTTCGAGATTGGCGTGGTAAGTATGGTGCACTCAATACAGTAACTTTTTGAAAGTATTTATTTATTTATGTCTATTTGTATGTTTATTTATGCCAATTTCAGATCGTAAACAAATTTCAAATTTGAAACACATACGCATCACCTTCAACATAACGTTATGCCACAATGTGCAAACATAATCTATTTTAAATAATGATCATGATGATGAAGTGATTATCCGGCATTTTTGAAAATCCAGTACCCCTTCCCCCAAAGCAGCCGGACAATCAATGATCTTCTATATTGATCACGTATGTCCACCGTTTTGATTTGGTGCAAACAGTTGTTTTTGATCCGAATTCCATTTGTTTCATTGTTCTGCCCGTTTGAACGTAATTTTTACGTAATTGTTTTTATCCTATTGCCATTTCGGTGACCCAGCTCACTTGCAAATGAGACTCTCCCGTCCTCACCCGGTTAAACAAAATAAGCTTGATACTTCGGGGCAGACGTACACACACAAAGACAAAGATCCCCCGTGTAGCCTTAACAGACTGTAGGGGCAAGTGCTGTTAGCGAGCACCTATGAAGGCCGGAACGGTACACGAGGGGGTGGGTGGCCAGCACCACGCCCGACCGCCTTTGTCTCCCTAGTGGCAATGTTTACACACCGCACCAGTTACTCATTTGAGGCTGAGTCGACCTAGGGGAGGCCCGGGACCGGTTCAGATAATCGTCACTGGTGACGGGAATCGAACCCGGGTCGCCAGGTTCATAGCGCAGCGCAGCGCTAACCGCTACACTACCGCTCCCCACACACACACGCGCACGTGGACACACGCACGCACGTGGACACACGCACGCACGTGCGCATGCACGCGACCGCTCACACTCGTCGTAGAAGCCGTAGATGCGGTTGATGCTCGCGCACTCGTGGTTCCCGCGCAGCAGGAAGAAGTTCTCGGGGTACTTGATCTTGTAAGCGAGTAGCAGGCAGATGGTCTCCAGCGACTGCTTGCCACGGTCCACGTAGTCGCCCAGGAAGAGGTAGTTGCTCTCGGGAGGGAATCCGCCGTACTCGAACAGGCGCAGGAGGTCGTAGTACTGTCCGTGGATGTCGCCTGCACAAGCGAGCGCAACACATACGTACGGGCGTGCGTTCAAAAGTCGAAGCGCGCTACGTGGGTTGTGTGTGTGGGGGGGGAGCGGTAGTGGAGTCGTTAGTGCTGGCAAACCCACCCCCTCGGGTGCCATGCCGGCCTTCATAGGTGCTCGCTAACAGCGCTCGCCCCAAGAGTCTGAAAAGAGGCTACACGGTGGATCTTTGTCTTTGTGGGCGTGCGCTTCATGTTTGTAAAACACAGCAGCTCCCATACACCAGGCGAGGTCGTTAACGTCTCACCACCGTGGCACCCACCAATACGGTCACCATCAGCTGCAGCAGGGCCTGGCTTGCCACCCATCTGCCGATGAAAAAAAAACGTTGGCACAGCTTTTTGATGCCCCTGGCCCGCCGTGGAACTCACCGCATATCTTTAGCGGCGCTTCCAGCTCGAGCAGAATGGGCTGAGAGAGGAAGATCTCACGAGACTTGATGCACAGCGCCCGCACCTCTGCCTCCGACATGTGCACCGTCTTGCCCGGTCGACTGCCCCTCACTGCGTACATTGAGGGGTGGGGGGGGAGGTGAGGCACAAAGAGGGGTCGATCAAGTGGTGAGATGTGTTAACTACCTCGCATGGTATGCAGGAGGTCGTGGGTTTCATCCCGACCCTGACGCTTACATATTTGGAGTTTGCGGTGTCTCTCTCCACGTGGTCACGTGGATTTTTCTCCGGGTCCTGCGGTTTTTCCCTCCACATTTAGAATCAACGTCACGCGTTCAGAGTATTTGGCTGCTGCTATCAAGTCCCACGTGATAAACCACTTCGTTGAGCTATCATTTATGATAGCCAGGTCGCTTCTGAAAAAAAGTGACGTAGCTCAGTGGGCCTTTACCTGGTAAAAAAAATAAAAAAGCATTGTTTTTAAGGTGATTTTGTTAAACCACGTGAGCATTCAAGAGACCAGGACGAGTCTCATTTGCATGAGGAACCTGGGTCACCAACGTGACAAAATCAAAACAACGCACAGCAATGAGTAATCCACGTTGAGTAATTTGCAGGTTTTGTTTGTTAGTGCTGCTACCAGTTACAACGTGTGTTGTAACTGGTAATTGGCCATCATCATCACATCATCATCAGTGAGATGAGGCACATCATAAAGCTGGCCGGGTGGCTAGATCTGCAATGAGCTGAGAGATTATCATCGTCTTCATCATCATTACTGTTATGATAATCAGTCAGTCAATCCACTGCTGGATGAAATTGTCCCCAAGCCGCCGTCACCACCATCACCTTGCACGATATCACAATGCAACAATGCGCAATTATCATGATCGTCATCATCATTTATACCGCCCCTCCCATGCAGTACGTCTCCACTGTGAACGGGTCCTTAAAAACACCTTAAGTCAGTTGCGACCAAGTCCAATTCGCGATGTCCGCAACAATGCTGCAGGTTCTATGGAGAACAGCTTAAAAGAGTGAAACTAATCATTCAAATATGGGTTCAATGTAGTAATTGGGAGCTCGGTTGTAACGAAGACCGGAGGGCAATGTGACTCTTCAGGATCGGGATTGTGCGACCCCTGCCTTGACTTATTTGCATTTCCCATTCTCTTGCGCTGATGATCCACTGTTGATGATGGTAAATCGTCAGCAATCTCCCTCGTATGTGTACAATGAAAGAGAAACCACAGTCGTGGAATTGTGGCCAAGCAATCCGAATCTTCGGAACGTTCAGTAAACCACTGTCGTCTGCGGCTCCTTCAACGGAGGAATGGAAAAAGTATAACAGATGTTAAAACTAGATTCGAAGTTTTCGTGACTGCAGGAATTACTCTTTGGTTATTTCCGTAAAGTCACGTAACTTTACCGGAAGAACCAAAGAGGAATGTTAACTACCTTGCCTGGTATACAGGAGGTTGTGGGTTCGATTCTGACGCTGACCCTGACACCTGTATATTTGAAGTTTGCATGATCTCTCCGTGGTCGTGTGGATTTTTCCTCGGGTCCTCCGGTTTTTCCCTCCACATTTAGAAACATGCATTTAGAGTATTTGGCTGCTATAATTGTCGACATGATAAGCCACTTTGTTTGAAATATAATTTGTGGCCAGGTCGCTTCTGAACTGAAAAAGAGCTATATAGCTAAGTGGGCCTTACCTTGAATTGTATTTATTTTAATATTTATTTAATTTTATTTAGTTTAATAGTTTCCTGAAACCCTCTCGTGGCTAACAGATCTCGACACTGGCATTTATCTCCTGAACATATTGCCGTCATACGCAATCATAGAATAGTTAATTAAAATATAAACAGTATTCAGACATTATGCATATGCCAAAAATATTGCCTGTTTGTCCTCATTATGATCATCATCATCACCATCAGCCATGATCGATCCACTGCTAGGTAAATGCCGGTGGTCCAACAGAATTACGGCAAACATGGACACATTTAGAGGGCACCCCAAAGCGCACGAGCCAGCTGGGTTTAGGAACGTTTTCTACGGTCGACTTGGCACAAGCTATAAATCAGCTTCCGCCTCTTCCTAGCATGGCAGAAAGGGCCTCAACAACCCGTCGGCGAGTTTACAAGTTTAAGGTAAAACATTATTTCGGGTTGTGTAGAATTGTTTGGAGAGCGGCCGATGCCACGTACGTTGCCGAAACGAGGGCAAAGTGTTTACACTGAAGCCGGATCCAGTCACTGGTGTTCAAAAGCAGAACCGACGGACTTTAAAAAAGAGCCGGCCAGCTGGCTCAGCGGTAGCGTGAGAGGCTCCCAATCGCAAGGCTGCGAGTTCCAATTTTGAGCGGGGGGTTAACCCGCCCAATCATCTCTTCGAGATCAATAGTAAAATAAAAAAATTAACACCACTTTGTGGAGACGTAAATAGTGGTTTTGTGTGTGCCGTTGATACACTTATCCCTGTTGTAGCAATGTAAAAATTCCACCACTGGTGCAGGGCTGTAAACGGGAAATGAGCACCGCCTCCACAACGCTTAGGCGAAAGGGAAATCGCTTTGACTTTAAACGTTAGAGCAATCTGGCAAATGTGCACCAGCTTCAGATGTAATGAGAATGATCAGTGAGAGAATAAGCCTCATGAGGCTGTACGGCAACTACCAAGAGTGTCACAGTGCTGCTGGACATTTGGGCAAATCGTCAATTAAAAAAATCGCGTCACAGTAACCGAATAACATGTGTGCAATCAGCACTTTCCCAAGAACTCTATGTTCCAGTGAAGTTCTCCTCGTGCAGGGAACACCATTAGCAAATCGTATAGGGGCGCCACGGTGGCGAGATGTCATCCGCCTTGTCTGGCATGCACGAGGTCGTGGGTTCCATCCCGACTGCAGAAGCCTGCTGCTGTATATTTGGAGTTTGTGTGCCTCTCTCCCCATCGTCGAGTCAATTTTTCTCCGGGTTCTCCAGTTTTTTCCCTCCACATTTCGATGGCCCAGTTTATTGAGCTATCTTTTGTGGCCTGGTCGCTTCGGAAAAAGAGCTATATAGCTCAGTGGGCCTTACCTCGTAAAATAAAAAAAAAATAGTTTATAGTTTTATAGTTTCTCCAGGCATATCCTTGAAAATGCATTCTCAAACCAATGCAGTTACCCACGGATAATGCAGACGCTTATATGGATAAACACGACTAACAGGTATAGCTTCAGCGCATCCCCGGTGACTCTTCATACCCATATAAAGCAGAGGTCTCATAATCCGCATTGATAGGGGAGGATAATCCCGCGGCGCACCGCAGAAGTTTCACCAAAACAATCCACAAGAAGGACGTTCGTGCCAATTGCGGTACCGCCGATTACAGGGGGAAAGAGCCAAGAGATTAGTCTGCAAAAAATAACTTTTCAGAGAACAGAAGCGAGGCGTGTGACGAGCGGCTGTGAGGATATCTGAGACCAAAGTCTGCCATATGAGGGCTCTAGCTATACTCTTTGGTTCTATTTGGTAAAGTCACGTAGGTAAAAAATAAAACGTGACTTTACCGAATAGAACCAAAGAGTATGGATCCTTGCAGTCACGAAAGCTTCAAATCTAGAAAGGCTCTAGCTATGTTTAACGATTATTTTTGTTTGCATGTACGTACAGTTGAACTTCTTTCGCACCGTACGTAGCCAACCGTTCTAATCGTTCATATCCAAGCCCCACAAATAAAACCGCTAAATTATTTATACTGAACAAATCAAAGCAGCGACAGCTAGTCTGTGCTGATGCAAAGCATAAAACAAGAAAAAAATGCTAAATTAAATAAAAAACATTACCTCCACGTTTCTCTGCAGCTCCGCTCTGCAGCTCTGGGTTGACCCCCACAACCTTTGACAGGTGGTGAGGTTTTTTTTGCGGTCCACGAAGTGTTCTAAATCCTCCGGCAGCGTGCCGGCGGATCGCGGGGGACAGTCGTGAAGCACCGATAGCCCGCAGACTACGGGGATTCGTCGATCGCAGCACATTTTTTGGGGGGAGTTCTGATGAACTTTAATAGGGAACAAAAATATCTATTCGTGTAAAATGGAACGGTTTTCCGCGACCTGACTGCGGGGTGCGGGTAAGAGTCTGTCCGCCGTTTTTTTAAATCTTTGTGGTGACCTGTGTGTGGTTGCTTTGTTATAGTATTTGTAATCAGGTGAGAATCCACTTATACTGATTACTGCTCTGGTAAAGTGTGACTTTGAGGGTAGAAAGGGCAGGTTACATTTTATGAAGCGTTCCATTGTCAAAAAAATTACCAGTGATGGAAATCTTAGTTTTTAAGATACAACCTTGGAACACAAGAGGCTAGAATGGGCTAATTCTTAGTGATCTATGATATCACTAATTCTTTCATGTCCACCACCCAGCAGAGAGCCCACTTTGTATGGAGATACAGGTAAACCTCGGCTAGCCAGATTCTGCATACTGTATAGCTGACAGCACACACACACACGCTGATCTATACAGAACACACAAAGATCCCCTGTATAGCTTTAACAGACTGTAGGAACAAGTGCTGTTAGTGAGCACCTATGAAGGCCGGCACGGCACACGAGGGGGTGGGTGGCCAGCACCACACCGGGCCGCCTTTGTCTCCCCAGTGGCGACGTTTACACACCGCACCAGGTACTCGTTTGAGGCTGAGTCCACCTAGATGAGGGCCCAGGACCAGTTCAGATAACCTTCAGTAATGTTGGCCGTGAGCGAGAATCGAACTCGCGTCGCCGGGTTCGTAGTGTGGTGCGCTAACCGCTACGCTACCGCATCCCCACAGCACACACACACACACTCGGTATTTGCTATGGCTTGGTCTGTACAGAACACACAAGTACACTACACACATATTCATATATCCATGGTCGCTGTTGCTGAAATGGCGGTTGGCTGGACCTTTCAGCTGGCCAGAGCAGGGCTCTTCCACTCACATTATTCCAGTTACCTGAGGCTTCGCTGTTATTTGACTTTGCCTTCGCTTGACTTCTCATCTGAGATGCATCAGAGCCGCTAATCCACACTGGGCAAGCCCAGAGCCACACACAGAATTTCCACATTCTCTTTATCGCT